TTACAAATCCCTATTTTGACTCTCCTAAATAAAATAGGGATTTGTAACTTGAGGAAATAATGTCAACACTGTTTCAAATCTTACGATTGTTTGTTTAATTTTTTTTTTATATATAATTGCATTTTCACTTTAAGCAACCTATCTTGTTTCTGTAATTTTTTGAAGTTCCCCCATTTCTCCTTTTTTAAATTAACAATTTTTAATAATCTTGTTTCTTTAGTTTTTTTATGTCTATCGTGGAAATAAATCTGTATAATAGCAATACTGACGTATTTAGTTTAATGAAATACTTTGTGTATGATGCTCTCTCAGGAAAGAATGACAACCTTTGGATTGGTTTCGTGTAAATTTAATGGGTATTGCTCTTGATATCACTGCCACAATCTTATTAATAGTGATACTATATGTATGATCATTATGATGCATGGTGATCAACATACCACATGTTATGTATATGCTTGTAAAATGTATATAGCTACTATATATATATATATATATCCTGTATACCTGTCCTTAGGTCATACTTCTTTTTTGGTATTGCTCCTTGATATCACTGCCACAATCTTATTAATAGTGGTACTGAATGTATGATCACTATGATGCATGGTATTCAACATACCACATGTTATGTATATGCTTGTAAAATATATATATAGCTACTATGCTTATACCCTGTAGCAATATGGGGAGTCTAATGAACTATACTGGAATGGTGCATTGACTGGATTTTGTAACTGCACGAGTTTTATACATACATGCACATGCAATGCATGTTGGCTAGTATTTATATCTATATATACAAATAGGCAGGCTTTATAGTTTGTTTTTGTAAAGCCATACATACAGATAGTCATGTGAATTTTTCAAGTTGTATAGGTGCAAACATACATATTCAATTCATCATAATAGGATATGTATATAAATAAGCATTTTTAATATTTCTTGAATTGTTAAATTTTCCCCCCTTCCTCTTCCTTCTTTCCGCTGGCCATAGTAAAGCCAGTCATGGCTTTGCTGCAGCTGGCCAGATTTCCTCTTAGTGACATTCTGCTCACTCTACAAAGTCAAAAACATGTTAATTAACAATTATGAAATGAATATACCTTCCCCCAAACTCCATTTCTGATGGAGTTTGGGTTGTGACCCTTCTACAACCCTCTCGCACTAAACTCTGGTGGGTCAACACTGCTGCATACTTTATCTGAAACTAAATATTTTTTAAATAAAATTTATTGCTACAACATTTCTGCTTCACTTTTGCCATCTCCTGCTTATACGATTCTTGCCACTCTTTATAGTCAACTTCAAGAATGGCTACTCTATCTGCAGTATCTGTAAAATTTGCAATCACACAGTGTTGGCTATAATTCAACACCTGCCATCAGCCATCATCGTGATTGCCTATCCATTGCTTGTGCTATCTTTTAAACTACAGCTTAAAGATTGCTCTTGTGGGAGACAGCCTAGACATTTGTATAACGTTTTAGATGTTTGTGTAATGTGGCCGAAATTGATCATGCAGTGGTAAAAAAACTGATTCTGTCAGTAGCATCGTGTCCGAAAGGTCAGGAACCCTATACATAAACAAATGATACATGACATCAATACAGCTGCAAAAATAAGTTAAAAATTGCTATGGTACATGTTTCATGCCTGCCATATAAACATTAAGCTACATCCACGACCTCAAACAGCCATACATATGTATGAATGTAGTAGATTATGAGGCTCCATATAAACCACAGACTACATTAAAATGGTTGGATGTGAATTGTTATACAGCCATTGTTACTTGCTAGATAGTCAAATAAAGTTAAAAACTACTATACACAATAAACAATGATGTGTTTAGTAACATTGTCCAGGTTTTATTACAATACTCACAGCCATTTTTGCTGTAGGCTGGTGGAACAATATTAAATAATAAAGAAGAACAAATGGGCAATCCCTATTAAGAACCACTACCGTGGTTCATGATATTATTTTGCATCTTTTTATCTGATTTTCCCATTATGAAACCCAGAATGCAGATATGATGCATATTATGGGATAGTCATTCTAACATAATTTTTGGGAGCATAAAGCACTTTTAACATTAACACTTGAAACTAAAAAAATAAATTAATTACATATATATATTCTCAATCCTTTGTTCAGTAAAACTTCTAAACTATAAACCATTTATTAAATTACAAGAAAGTAAGTGTAAATTGATACAGCTGTATCAAAGTTACTTATGCTAGTATTGACATTTATGTAATGAAATTAATTTATTTGAATAAAACTGGTTAGAAGCTCATACCTGAAATGTATTTCTTCAATTAAATAGAATTGGATTGGAATTTATAAGTTAACCCCAACAACATTTATATGCAATTTTAAGTACATAAGATAGGCAAAATAAAACATGAGAAGTGACATAACAATATTAAGTAATACTATGCTCACTGTGAGTATTAAGTAACAGAAAACAAATTTTTAGTGAGCTTGTTAATAAAATGACTCAATAGCACTGTACTTCAACTGGTTTGTATTCTATCTTGATAATGAGCGATTGAAGTACTGTATAATTACACTTGATTTGTTTCAAATCGTAAACTTTTATCCAATATCTCATTCAATTACAACTTTTCTTTACCCATTTGGAAGATGTCCAGTCAATTATATTTCTAAAAGTTACAAGCAGTTATTAATATCAGAACCTAGGTACTTGAGTATTGAAGCACATTACACTAATATAATAATAAGTTGGCAAACAACAATTTATAAGCACAATAAGATATTGATTTTGGGGGGAACATACTACATGCTCTGTTGAAACACGCAGTATGTTCCTTAACAATAAATCACTTCATTATGCTTATAAATCATTGTTTGCCAACTTACATCAGAACCTTAGGTTAAATTAAATATTTAGTTGCTTGTACAAAATAATTATATGTTTTTTTTGTTGTTTTTTTCAGTCCTGAACTTTATCTTGAAGAGCACAAATAAAACAAAAATTAGTATAACTGATAAAAATATATTAAGAGTATATAATAAAAAAAATAATTAATTTTTTTACATGTAGATGCATTTAATCTTTGAATTTGTTTAATTGTGGTATGACATCTTTTTTAATCTCCAAATATTATGAAGGTGGTGCATATGTGCTTACCATCAGATTCTGCACGAACCAACAAAGAGGTGCCTTTAAATTTATCAACAAAAGATGAAGACACATGGCCTGTTCCTCGATCATCCCACTGTCGATCAGCATTAAGGGCATAGAGTTTTACACGTCTCCTTGTGTCTGCCATGTTCCCTAAACTATACACTAACTAAACAAATATATCCAACAGCTCATGTCACACCTACATTTGAACAAGAAAGAAATAAGAATTATTAGGTGAAATTTGTAACACTTAAAAAACAACATGTAACTAACTTGTAGACATAATTTTTTGCTTTAACATTAAGACTACACAATCATAAATTCTTATAGAAATAAACACACATATATCTTTAACTTCAAAGTTTCTATTTTTAACAAAATGATGCTCTCTAAGGATAAAAAAAATCAAACAAAAATTAGGCATTTGAACAGCTTTCCTGAAGAAGTGAGAAAAAATTTCTGTATAGGATTTATTTTCTGTTGCCCAAGAGAGACTCAAACTTCACCAAAATTTTTGAGAAGTACTAGAGTACCCTCATCATACCATTATAAACCAACATCTGCTGTTATCTTTCATTTAAAGATATGTTTGAGGCAAAACAATGATGTATATTTTTAACATGTCCACCAGACAGCTTACTGCATTTACTAAGTGTTCCAAATAATCTCTATCACACATACAGTATATGTTTTACTAAGCTCAAAGTGACATCTTCTTTAAATTACTTAACACAACACACTTCTTACTTCTTTGTACTTCCACACTGGAATGAAACTTATATTATAGTCTTGTTGAATTTATGCTGAATATATTTGAAGTATACCTATGCAACTGTACTTTTTCAAGCTTGATTTCTTAACAGCTTTAAGACAGTTTTATGTTCAAGAAAAAATAAACTACTTAATTTCATTTTTATTTGTGTAGTAAAAATGTATATTTTTGGGTAAATGACTTTTTGTTTGAAGATAAATCATAGCTTTGGCAGGTTTGTGTAATAACTGTTATCGATAGGCAAATGAGTAACTTTAATAACAGCTTATTAAAGGATACATAACAATACATGGAATATTCTTACACTATTTTTGTTCAGTAATAACGATGAATCTGATCTACTGGTGAGAAACAAAAAAATGCTACATTGCAAAGCTAGTGCTAATTTTGTTTTCCTGATAACAAAGAGGAACCTTGTTGATGACAGTATCTAAAACATGTATGTGGCAAAAACCAACTAACATATGGTCAGTATGGTTAAAGCATTCATAAAAATAAACTTCCCTCCACATATGAAATTAGCACAAGTAAGAAAGCAGGCAACAAAGAAAAACAATGTGTGTCTGTTGGGTAACATTCAAGGGAAAGAAAAAAGGCTGAAGAGTTCTTGCCAATTTAAAATAATTTGAACAGTACAAAAAAAAAAGGACTTGGATGGTCGATGTCAACATTAAATCAGCATACCAATTTCCTAGTCACAATTTCATGGAAAACCAAATCCCATTAGTGAACAAAGAAATGAAGCACAGCATCAAAATTCCACTTCAATAATCTAACTTAAGATTATTGAAAGAAAGTTACCATATTATCTGTCTGCTGTTCTGGATGCAGTTAGTTATTAGCTTTCAAATATTGAATCAGATTATTGCAATAAACATGATAATCTCAACAATTACATGACAATTTTTATTATTGCTCCTCACTAGTTTTAGGAATAGGCTGTGTGCAAACTATGAACCTTCAAGGCTCTTTACACACATAAACAGTACCCTTTTCATGACTGACCAATGTTTTTACAATCTCATAGTATATCATCTTTATCAACTTGTATTTGTTGGCCAAAGTAAGAAATACTATGCCAGTGCACATTTCTACTTAGGTTGAAAACATGATAAATCCTTACTGGTGAACATTCATACTCACAAACTCCCTGGAAAACTATGTTCCTCTAACAGAAATATATATACTTTTCCATGGAAAAGTTACAGTGAAAGAAAATGGGTTGTACAGGTATATAGAAAAAACTAATATGATATTTTCTATTTACAGGACCTTAAAAATATCAAAGTTTAATAATGATCAACCATCATTTTAGTTCCAACTTTTTGATTAATTAATAATAACACTTATGAATAAATTAGCAAATAATTTTCAAATAAATATATATATATATATATATATATGTTTAAAAACAAGACTCACCAGATGGTTCTCCTTGATTTCAATGAAAATTGTTAAAACAAACAAAAACAGTTCTTTAAATTGATCTATTTCTGTTACTTATAACGACTTGTGGATACACTCTCATGTCTGTCATGTTACTCAAGACAAAACCAATTCAATACTCCAACTCACATTTATTGCTACTCCTTCCATTAAGCTGTTCTGCAATAAAAACAAAAACAAAATTAAAAATCAGGAGCTAGAATCTCTAGAAATTAACTGAACTTTTCAGATATATATAACAATTATAAGCACGTACATGTTATTCTCTTTACTGTTCTGTCTCACATGCAACATCAAAGTTGACACTTTTCCAAAAAACAGCCAAAAAATACTGTATACAAACCTTGTTTCTTTTAATAATTTTAAATAAAACTGAAGCAAACCTCTTTACATATGATGCAAGCCATCTAACTTCCAAGAGTATTAAATTTTAGTCAAATTTTCAACACACTTGATTTATTGATATTATTATTCCATGAAAAACAAACTGAAAGGTAAATAGTCAGTCTAACCATGACATATATGTACATTTTACATCAACATTTGATATTTCCTCTCAAATTTAGAAGTCCCTATGACTCTCAAAGGTACATTCTAAAGTTAATTCATGCCTTCTTTACTCTCTACCAGCATTAAAAATTAACAAACAAAAAATGGTAAAAATAACAAGACTGACCCATTATGAATGTTTAAACAAAAATGAAAAAAAAAATTGAAGCGAATTAACGACAATTTAACAATGATTTAAATTATGAAAAACTAAAATGAATATAATGGCTTTTGCAATAAAATCCATAATTATTCACTAATATCAATTGCTATAATTTACAAAAACTTAAATGTTCAAATATTTTACATTCAAATTACTTGAACAGCACATTTTAAACATGTAGATATTAAAGGATATTTGTGTCAAAATATAAATAACAAGGATAGTCACAGTTCACTTCACCCTGCCAAGTATAACAAAAGGCTTAAACTAGCAATAACAAGCACTGTGCAATAACTATAATAATCACAACTGTGCTTTATGTGCATTACTAGATTATGAAAAACAACACTACTGAAATATATGTGGAATAACTTAGTTCCATCTAGTGTGTCTTACTGGGCTCTTACTTTTAATAGTTGTAAACAGTAATAAACTGAGATGTCAGCAAAAATTTAACCACTGATGAAATTAAAAATAAAATTGAAAAAACAACTTTACATTTTTACTATAACAGCTTAGATAAATTGGTCTAAGTTGAACTATTTTGAAATTCTGAAATTCATTAAAAGAAGTACACAGCATATGCATGCAATATGTAGAATACTGCAAGTGAAAGCTGCAGTCAATGATTACACAGCAAGTTCTTTCAATATTAAACTTGTTTGTCAAATATCACAGTATACTTAATATAGATTGTACATGTGTGTGTGTGTGTATGATTTTGTTTTCTGTGTGAAATAGCCTTATTTTCTTTATTATATTAAATGAAGACCTAGACCAGTGACTACAATACTAATGCTCTAAAGGGATTTAGTTTTGGTATTTCTGCTCATTTAATAATCAGGATAATTTTTTTTCATTTAATATTTTAAAGTAACTAAAGCTATTTTTTTATGTCAAAATTACATTGTAAATGCAAATTCAAGCCGATTAATCTCCATTTATAACAGGTACACATATAACCCTTTACTAAATGACAACTGTTGGCCCTTGGCAATAAAATATCTTATGTGGAATATGCTTTCAGTAAAAAAATTTTCAAGTTCACAAATTTACCTTACTGAATTATAAGGCATTCTCTGGAAACACAATCAGGCCCCAGTTAAGAAATAAAAATTGATTGTATGTACAGAATATAATGAGAATTCTATTCCAAAAATTAAAAGGCAAAGAAAAAACCAGAACAGCAGACTTAACCTTTCTCTCACATCACTGTAAACTATGGAGAAACAGAATTAGCATAAAATACAAGAAAGATAACAAATAATACAATATACATTTTAAACAGAAAACATATAAATAATCAATATTCACAATGAAAACAAAAATATGCACATTCATGAAAATGTGTTGTGTTGCTATAAATTTATTCAAACAAGTCTGCATAACTACTAGTCATCTGGTACTTTCCAAGTACAAAACTTAAAGATATCTTACAAAAATGCTATAGAAGACATTAGTGACATGTAAACAAGAAGATCACTTAAAATTCTACTGGTACCATCAGTTGTAAGAAAGTTTTTCAGTTACTCACAAGCCTAAAAGATTAAGTTTGGAAAAAGTCAACATTTGATATTAACAGATGTTATTACCTAGGAAAAATAAAAAGTCTGATTCATGTAAGTGGTCAGAACTCTTACCTGACCAACAATTTACATATATATATATATATATATATATATATATATTATATATATATTATAATAA